TTCGACTTGGAAATCAGGAACAAAGCGTACGCAGCCAGGGCGCTAAAGCATGCATAGATATTAGAACAAGTACCTGTCCATCGGCAACGCAGAGACAAATCTGGATATTGGTCATGTACGTACGAAATGTGGAAGAGATGAAGTAGCAGATGCACCCCATAAATATTTCTGGTTACAGCCGCGCGGCTACTAGTTATTGTAGATTATTGCATAAGATCCCTCAGGTAGTTGCATGCCTGTGCATGCACATTATGCACTCATATGAACATACAATCGATGTTTACCCTCAACTGAGTCCCGTGATTAGGAATCGCTTGTGCCACGCAACAGGTTCACATACTTTACACTTCTGTCTACCAAACCCTTCTACCGCAACAGCTGGTGAGCGGGGGGCTGTGGCAAGGCAAACTACGGGCAATGAATCTGGTTGGCCGAGGTACAGAGTCATATATCTGCCGAAAAAAAGCTAGATTGTGCGCGGGCCGCGGGCCGCGGGCCAGAACAATTGTTTCTCGGTCTTGGCACTTTTTCATCACACTAGGGACATCGGGAACTTCTTGCATCGTATATCAAAGCTATCACTTCCGCCGCAGCATTTCACAGCGTCGCACTATTCACAATGGTAGGCCTCTCCTCCAGTTTCTTCCAGCGCAGTCGCCCTGAGCGCTCTGCTGACAACTCCGCCTTTGACAGCCCGCATATACTTCCAAGTTTGGCCCAAAGTAAGAGAGCGTCTGACCCTATCCTAGTAGTATAGCTGCTAATAGCATTTTTCTACAGGCTTAAGCCTGCCCCACATCTCTTTGGGTTCACCGCCAGGGCTGCTGCCCCATAGTGAGTTCTCCAATTCGTCAACTCCATCCCCGCTGACCTCGACTGCAGCGCACTTGCTCTCGGTGGCTTCGGTGCCGTTGCTGGCTTCACTGCCATCTTCTTCATGGAAGGAATCCCCCGAGTCCAGCAGGATATATTACAGGTATAGTACGCCGCGCCCTCCACCTAATCGACACAACTAACCCCAAGAACAGAAGATTCCAGTGATAGGAAAGTACTGGACTGGCAGAGAGATCCCCGCTTCCGATAATGTATGTGCCCCTGTCTCTTTAATCGGCTCAGTGCAATACTAATTCTTACTATGTAGCCTTTCTAAATCGCCGGATGCTTGGGAATTCGTGGTGGAATCGTTAGCGTGCGGCATAGACAAGCGATGTATATATCCTCACCATAGACGTTATACCATTACAGCGACTCTTTGTTCATTCCACACAATACCAATTACTTCAGCCTCGTTTACATCGACTCAGTCATGTCTATAGAGTGTGGTTTCGGCCATAAGATGTGAACTATGAGGGAATATTATGAGGCTTGTTTTTGCCAAGAACCAGGGACAATACCTATATTTGGATCACTCAGCCGAGAGACGGCGATGTCTATCAAAGTAAACTCAAACATAAGCCCGCATGAACTAAGTGTGATCAGCTGGACTATTCCTTCCCCAATGCTGTCGAACTTCTTTTCGTCAATCGCCCTTGCCTCTTCTTCCTCGAGTAGCCGTGGTACATCTGGTGTGCCAGTTGATGATGTAGACAAAGATGCAGTGCATGCCGAACTGAACGACTATCTCGAAGTATTAGCTGAGGTGTTTCCAGAAGCAGATGTCGATGATATACGAGAACGACTCTTGAAGTCCTCCGTTGAGTCTCGACTGTACCTCGTCACCGAAAGCCTCTTGATCATACCTTCCAAGGGAGCCCGACCAAATGCAAATGCAAAGTTGGAGCCTGCTGAGAAGTTCAGGTCTCGACAATATCAAATAGCTGTCAAGAACCTTCTGTAGGTATCGGAATCTTATTTAAGCTGTTACCTTGGATCTCGGCTTATGTATAGTCGAAATTAGGCAAAATGAATTTAAAGGTTTTTCAAAATCGACGATCCAAGCGGTCATGATGGAGAATAATCATGACTACCGGAAGAGCAGAGCTACTCTCACGGGAATAGCTGCAAAGTCATGGAGGTTCTCTGTTTCTGCGTTCTTTCGACGGAAAAGGCCCGAAGCTATCAATGTCATTCCTGAGCAACGTGCTACAGGCTGCGAGGAGCTTGATGCAGAGCTTCGTGAGTTAGGGATGGACAAAATTGAGGCTCAGATTGCTGAAGACCGAAAACGTAGGATACTCAGCATCCTTATTAGTGTCTCTAGAGCGTCTCCTAACACATTTTCTAGTATCAGCACTGTTAGACGAAGCGGAACATGCTGCTGCTTCAGAGCTCGTTGGATGCGAAACCTGTTATGGGGACTATTCTTGGAACGAAACTGCAGCATGTTCAGTTGGCCATTTCATTTGCTACGGATGTCTCACGAGGAGCGTCCAGGAAAATCTATATGGCCAAGGGCAGAGCATGGTGGGTTCAAAGTCATCCATCCGCTGTATTTCAGCCGCGGCTTCACCAACTTGCGATGCATGTATTCCACCGGAGATACTAGCGAAGGTTATCCCCGAAGTTATGCTCCAAGCTATGGAGGAAAAGGCCGCCACGGAGAACTTGGACCGTTCTGGCATGAGTCTCGTACGCTGCCCTTTCTGCTCGTATGCAGAAGCGGATGAGCTACAGCCATACTGCATGCGACAATGGGTCAAAGTATGCGGAATATTGGTTTTATTGATGCTTTACGTCTATGTTCCAGAATCAGCAATTTTGGCTTCCGTACCCCTCCTCCTGTTCACATATTTCATTACACCATTCTTATCGAGAGACTCAAGTGGAATTGTACTAAATACAATTAAATCGATCTCACTTTACAAACATTGGCAGAATGCGGTACGGAGGATACAGTTGAAACGGAGAGGGACATTATTCAAATGTCGTAACGAGCGGTGTAAGCGGGAATCATGCATTGGGTGTAGTAAGGAGTGGACGGCGTTCCATAAATGTTTTGAAAAAGAGGAAGATAGTGTGAGAATCCATGTTGAGAAGGCAATGGCTAACGCGGTCAAGAGAACGGTATGTATATCTTTGTATCCCTGGATTCTGAGGATGAAGCGGTGAATGTATTTATGCTGACCGTTGAAAAATCCAGTGCCCAGTATGTCGTATATCATTTGTCAAGGCGGATGGTTGTAATAAGCTCACTTGCGTGTGTGGATATATTATGTGGTCAATATACAATAGTCTCCCTGCCCCATTAAATTCATTGATACTAACCATCCATAGCTACATCTGCCGCGCCGACATCAGTAAAGAAGGCTACAAACATTTCTGCCAACACTTCCGTCAAGTCCCCGGAACCGCCTGCACGGATTGTGACAAATGCGATCTCTACGCCCAAGAAGATGAAGAATCAGCCATTCGAGAGGCAGCCTTGAAAGCAGAAAAGGAATACTTTAGGAATCATAATGTCCCTGCTACTTGGCAATATAGTAAGAACAATATTGGCCCCGTTAAATTAAACAATAGCTTAGGTGGGTCTAGTGTGCTTAACCCACATGGTTGATGGTATGCTAATGGTCATACTTTGGAGGTATAGTATGGCTGGATTCGAGTAAGCTTCAGAAGTACTTTGACCGAGTCCTAGAAGAGATTATAGCGGATGTAGAGGATCCGGTGGTACCACTATAACCTGACAACCGGGTCATACAATTTCCTACTTACCCTGAATCCACTACATTCTCTCCTACCCCGTGCCGGGTTTCTTTTTCCTATTCCGCGAGCCGTTGAGGGTTTTTATTTCAACAGTATGAATTAGTAGTAAGTACTAAGTATGTATGAAGTAGAGCGGAGTGTGTCTATCACTTTTTCTCCTCCTGTTTCCCAAGATTTTTTCTTAATGGAAATTTATTTTTCTGTTTTATCTGGTCTTTACTTTTGTTTTTTTCTGCACTCTTTCTCTGCCTTTCCCTGCTTCTGCACTTGGACCTAGCTCGAGATAAATAGACGTGGGTCATATCCTAATATCAATTAAGCCTGTTTTGACACATATCAATTTAGCCCACAGGCGCTTGTTTTGAAACTGAATTTGAAATTGAACTGCATGTGTATGTGGATATGTATATGCAAGCCATTGTAGCTCTGTTACAAATCGCGGGGCGGTCTGACGTGGGGGGGGGCAGGCAGCGGCAGACTAGGGAAAGCAAGTCATTCTACCTTCTTAGGATTAGCAATGTACGAGTAGGTAAATCTCCTACTTTACCACGTATAAATATACCAGGGATCCCTTGCAATCACTTGTAGGCCCTTGGTGGTCCCAGCGGAGATAAGGAATACCTATGTAGTTAAGGAATAAACAAATAAGCAAACGCGAACTCGCAGCCCGAATTGGAATATTGTGGAGTGGGAGATGAGGTGGCCAGGGCCGTTCGATTTGATATTTGATGATCTAATGTACATAATCTCAAATGCATTGCACTAGAGGATAATTAATATTGCGGGGTCGGGGTGGGGATGCGGGGGGAGTGGTGGTCACAATAATATAGAGCGAGATAGCCTCGTGGGGGAGGAAAAGCAAATATATGATGATGAACTGTACACCTACCTAGTTTGGTGGTGTTTTACCTGCATTGGTAGACACGCGGATCAGTCATGCAACAAGTAGGCCAACATTAACAATCGGCATGAGTCAAAGCCGACCGCGGCATACAGCAACGGATGGTTCAGTGTATCGGAAATAGTTCCAGAGAGGGTAAACATGTTTCATACCTATCGCCGAAACAACAAACTGTAAACCTCGCAGTCATTAACCATTGAGATTCGCAAGTTCGCAATGTATGCGTAGCCTCGAACCCACGTGGAGAGGCCGTGTGTCCCTTGGTCATGTGATTGCGATGCTGCTTAGCTTAGTCAGTAGCGATTCAGAATTTGATTAGCGCTGTACCTCTCTGTTTAAATCAAATATGTCTTGGCACCAAACCAACGTTCAGAGACTGGAAGCGAGGCTAGTATGCGCAGTTTTAGTATTGCGTGCCGTATTAGTTCTATCTGAACTGCAAAAATGCAAAAGGAAACGTCAAGGACAGGATTCGAACCTGCGCGCCCAGAAGGCATCCGCTGACTTTCCGAACGGCTCGAATAGCAGGCGAACGTGTTAACCACTCCACCACCTTGACTGGTATAATTATAATAGAGAACAATAATTTATAGATGCAATACTCTTACTGGCGAATAAATGCATTTAATCACACACCTCATATATGCAAGTATGTACTTACTGTATAACAACGTTAAAATGCACTCATCGGTACATCGATGCATTTCTGCTGCCCGCAAAACAAAAAGGAATTCTCAGTCTATATTTACTCATGCACATACTGTATCTACCGTACTAATAACCGGCCGTCTATATCACTGAGGCCCATCCAACTACATTGTCATAAGATCCTATCTAAGAGTAGATCATTTGAACCTGGAATATTGCTATGTTGATGGACACCCTGATCTTACCCATATACAGCTGATGAAGCAACCGGACTAACAATTATCAATCTTCATCTTATATACCAAACGCTGGCTTCAAAGCTCATACACATTTCTACTAGTAACATTAGTTGTAACTTCTTAAGGCGGGCAAAGTTCCACTAGAATCTCTGTCATTCCCCCAATTTCCCTGATTTGCAGAAATCCCAAACTGCCTGAAAACTACAAAAAAGGTCATTTGCGGGGTCAGAAAAGTCATATCGTTATCTGGACTGAGAACATCGAAACTACCGATTCGTACACCCAGACTCCTCTAGAGGTGTTCTCGTGGCCAGACCGATTATATGGTGGTGTGCTCTAGAGGTCAATACTGACGGTATTTCTATGTGCAAACCAGAACGTATTTTTATGCAAATAAGGGTATACCGACCGTAATACTTTGTAACGCGTGACAAAGTCAGGTGAAATAAAAAGGAAACGTCAAGGACAGGATTCGAACCTGCGCGCCCAGAAGGCATCCGCTGACTTTGTTAAACCTAGCAATAGCAGGCGAACGTGTTAACCACTCCACCACCTTGACAGTTGATACCAAAAAGGCGCTTCGTCTAATAGATATTCCTCGTCCTCCGCAAGCACAACACTACAAACCAAAATACTGCTCATGGTTACCAAGAAATGTGGTTCACCCCCGGTACTACTGCCACCCCTATAACCTACAGGTCTTCATAATCCCCTCCTCCATCTCCATCCCTATCCTCACCAAATCTCCGCAGACCCTCCTCCCCAAAACCCACCGCCTGCTGAATCGAATCCGGCTCCACCCCATCCCCCCAAGCAGCATAAACCACCTCTCTACCGTCCTCCCCATCCTCGTCCTCAGAATCGGCGATTTCACGTTTCCGTTTCCCCTGGGATTTCAACGGAGATATTAGTAGAGTCGGCTGCCCGGATTTGGAGGAGCGAGGTGGCGACTGGTTGTCGGTATTGGTCCCAGGCTCGGGGGGAAAAGCTGTTGATGGTGTGGGCGATGGGGGTTGTGGTTGTGATATCCTTGGGGTACCACTGGGGTCGGTGTCTGGAAGGTATTCGACGTCGCTGATTCCATTCTGTACACATGAATGAGGACTTGATAAGTTCTTACTTCCATTTTGCTAATGCTTACCTCGCTAATAGTCACGGATATGATTGGCCCATCCTCATTCTCATAACTAACGCCTCCGGCTTTTAGGATGCTGATGTATCGGACTGAAGTTGCAGTTTCGGGGGATTTCAAGATATCGGCCGGGACGTGGTGGCGGAAGATAAGTAAACGGGTTGTAAAGGAGTTTGTCCAGCTAGGGCTGGCTTCACTAGAGGATATGGGTGTTAGATCCAAGATAGATCCAAGATAGAGCTTAGGAAGATTGGTATTGGAGGGTTAACAGACCAACAGCAGGCTGAAGATATGCACCTACGCCTCGGATGATTCGGGTAGTGAGTTGGTTCAACACTAGAACCTTTTCACCAGCCCCAGTCAGTTCCTAATTTCCAAATATAAGCTACGAAAACGGGGGATGCACCACGATATTCCTCATCCCCGCCACCTTCCCCAGCCCTCCGACCAAATCCACCATAATCCCAACTCTCCGCACACTTGGCTGCACCTTCCCCACACACCCCGCACTTTTCCTATCCAAGAACTCCCCATCGATGCCAGGCGGAAAGGCGATGGAAAATAGTGTAGAGATGTTATCAATCACTAGTACGCCTGTGCCAGGGTCTGGGAAGGTAGATGGTGGATAGTGGATGATAGCTAGGAGATGTGCGAGGGTGGGACATTTGATGATGCGGAGGGAGTAGAGGGTGGAGTGGGGATCTGGGTCGCCGAGGTGGGTGAGGATGGTGATGAGCCGGGCGATGGGGAGGGGCTGAGCAGTTTCTATACGTATAGGTTAGCGATAAGGGAAGGGCAGTATCAGATAGCATCGTACCTATCCAAGTGACCTTTTCCCCGGCTAAAAGCGCATTCGCAGCGACTTGTATCCTGTGCGCCCACCAAACATCAGACCTCCCTTTCGAGGAGTGCAATGTGAACGGATCATACATACGCAAATGCCGTCTTCCCACTGCCTGGTGGCCCACACACCTCCGTCAACTTCCCCTTCGCAAGCCCTCCCCTCTGTTGTTCCTTCTCGCTCTCCCGTCCGCTAGCTTCCGCACCCAAGGAACCAGATGTCACTAGCCGCGTGGTATAGCTCTTTGCGGGCGGGATAATCGCGTACGGCTCATCCCCAAGTAGACTATCGAGGAGCGTTGATCCCGTACTGTGTTGTGACCGCTGTGATTGCTGTGCATCGAGAGCTTGTGAAGCGGAGAGGGTCGGGAGGCGGTCTAATTCATTGGCATCGTCCGTAAGCATCGTGCCGGTACAGGAACGAAGAGAGTAAACCTACGGCCAGATGCAACGAGAGAGGATGATGGAACGTTGAATTGGGTTAAGCGATGCGTCATGACTACGACATTGCAAAGGTGGACGGAGCAAGAAATGCAGTCAAGAAACTTCGAACGCTCGTAACCGCCAAGGCTTTGCAGGGGCTCTTCACCGGGCAAGTCACGTTACTATGTAAGGTACAGAATCGATATTCGATTGCCGAGACAACGTTCAACGGGCGCGGTCTCACTCGTAGCGTAGGTAGAGGTAGACCCTGGCGACAAGCCCTGCCAAGTATAAATGCGCAGGAAAAAAATTTAGTCTGGCGGGCACCAGCTTCTCGTAGAATTTAGAAGAAATGCAATTGTACATGGAGCTAGGCCTGATGAAGGGGAGTTATCGCGTGCCGAAGAATCTCTACGAGAGGAGGTTCCCGCTAGACTAGCCGAAGAAGGGTAAGCAAGAACGGTCTGAAATTTTGCGTATTTAGGATCTGACAATTACGGGGTTGCAAGTAGTCAGGTTGGCACAACACCCTCCAAAGGCACTCTGCATTATCCCTACTTGTCAACCCACTGGCAGAAAGATGGCGGGAAACTTTACCGAGGTCCGCGTCGAGTCGGACATTCCACCACTGCTTACAGCCGTCTCAATAGCTTCTCTTGTCGGCGGGGTGTTCTGGCACGCGATACGGCATATCTCGCTGCCGGATGTGCAGCCGGCTGGGACTTCATCAAATGTGCTTACGATGGAGGAGAGCAACCTTCGTGACCAATACGACTATACAGCCCAAGGCGAAGGCCCCGATTCGTGGAAAGTTCTATCATTGTGGATATTCCCCATCAAGTCTTGCCATGGAATTGAACTGAAGGAATCACGGGTTGTCAGTACTGGGTGGGTCACATTACAAAGCTTGGTCATCAAAGAAGACCCTTCTAACTATATGGCCACAGCCTGGAACATGATCGCCAATACACCTTTGCCGAGAAGAGATTCAATTCTGAAACAGGAAAAGGAGGATGGGTCTTTATAACACAAAGACAGTATCCGGCTCTTGCAAGGGTGACAACCCAGTTCAAAACTCAGAAGGATAGAGCTGGCGGCAGAGTCCTCGAGGTGGGGTACCCTGTGAAGACATGGTTGAATCGGTGGATTTCCATGATCGGTGAAACTAGGAAGACATTCGAGCTACCACTGGAGGCAAGGTGAGTTGAGTGGACAGATATCCCATCCGAGCCGCCAGCTAGTAACACGTGACCTAGTGAAGAGGAATTGGCTTCATACCCTCTTGAGCCGGTGCGAATATGGAAGGATGTGGTAATGGCATGGTGGGCCCTCTTCTAGAAAGTCTCGCTTCGTTACGCTGATGCCGTGCCCCAGTAACATGACTGTGTTAGTCCCCTCAGACTTTGCTCAGTCATTTGGTGCACAGTACCCAATTGCCCTTTTCAGACTGCCTCCATCGCACTTCCGAGAAGTCTTCAGATGTTCTCCAAGGAAGGCAGAAATTAGATATCAGCCAGTCATCGCCTTTGCCGACGCGGTAGGTCTAGGCGTCCAATTGGGTCCCTCAAGAGCCGTCTAATGAGTTTCCAGTGCCCAATTCACTTAATCAATCTGGCCTCCGTCAGAGATCTGAATTCCCGTATAGAAGGTTCAATACCAAAATTGGATGTGATCCGCTTCCGCCCAAACGTGATATGTGAGTCCATCCATTCCCCGAGCCTTCGCCAATCCGACTGACTTTCATTGTGTGGTGTCTGGACCGTCTGCGTTTGAAGAGGATTCATGGAACCGCATCTTGCTTGGAGATAAAGAATATTATACCTGTGTGTTGTTATTCAATCCACTTCCAGTTGCATAATTATTTACTTCTGCTAGCTTGCCGAAAAGTCAGATGTAAGATGCCTAATGTGGACCAAGACACTGGTGCACGGCACCCTGCGGAACCATATAGCACAATGCGTAAATACAGATGCATTGGTGAAGGCAATAAGTTAAATCCTTGCTTGGGAATGCAAGTGGTCCCCGCAGCAGAAAGTAAGCAACCTCTCAGACTAGTTGGGAGTCTTTCATACTAATAGGCGTAGTGGGTGTCATCCGCGTAGGTGATTCGATGAGAGTGTTGGAAACGAGGGAGCACTACTATATTGACCAGTGAGGGGGTTCAGTAAGTTGCATGGCAGAAGTAATGATTGCATATACTTACATGCTGCCTCGTAAACACAATTCTAGCCTTAAAAAATTTGCTTCAAAAACGATTAGAAAAAATCATGCGCCACACGTCCCTGTATATAATGCGAAGTGGAAACCTCATCGAGACCCGAGACCCTTGCAACTGTGATTATCAGACATGTGCGCTGGTAGGCCTATATATTCTCATGAAGGAATGAATAGCGAGATCGAACTGCCAAGCTTCGATGGAAGGAAAACATATCCAATAGGCAACCGGAACTACTCAGGGTGGCGTTGATAGCTCGATCATGGTGCAATTAGGAACCTTCGTCCGAAATGCAAATGCGAAGGCCTTGACAAACAGCGCGTGAGTATGTCGAGTGAAGTAAAGCAGTACAATGCTGCATAATGTGTCAGCTTAGGCCCGAACTCCAGTTCTGGGTACGAGATACATATCGCCGCACCTTTAACGAGTGCCGCCGTCGATGAGGTCATTAACCCTTGATGTACCAGGTATTAGTGGACCCTGAATGAGCCGAATTGAGGTCAGAGTGGGGTTGAGTGCGGGGTATTCTGGAACGCCACTTAGCTCGTTATTTTCTTTTGTCCTCTCACAGCACCTTATCATGATTTGCTAAGCCCCAGCAATATAGCATGTGCAAGTCAAAACTACCCTTCTAAGACGACGTTCGCACCGCAGAATATCTACAAGAGGCGGTGCCCGCCAGACTAGCAGAATATGCATGTGTCACTGCTTCTAACACCGGCAAAAGGCACGAGTAAATTTTATTCGGATACATGAGCTGTTTCTATCACATACCGGTATGTGTCAACGACAAAGGCTTGACTTACCCCTTCTGGAAGTCCTGTTCGATGACGATGGGGTGGGCGAAAGCCTAACCTTTCGTCATCGGCTAACCTTTGTGTAGCTGAGGGTCACACGTCTGGTAGACAAAATTAGTCACAAATTATGATCGACGGGTCCCCATCTTCCA